GGCCCACCTTTTTTCCAGGGGGAGGACAACATTGGCATCGCTATTGGGGGTTTGGGGGCCTTTGGCCTTTTTCCCCTTTCCCGCTTTCTTTCCCTTTCTCCCCCTCCTGGGCCTCTTAACCGGTTTCCCTCCCTCCTCCGGTCTCTTGGGGGCCTTCGGGGCCTCCCCCTTCTTCCCTTTCTCCGGGGGGGCCCGGGCCCCCTCCTTCCGGCCCGCCGCCGGCCATGTTGCCCCCGCCATGCCCCCCCCCCCCCCCCCACACACACCACACACACACGTATGCCCCACACGTCGCCGCACCGCCCCGCACCGCACCGCCCCACACACGCACCGCCCCACACCCCCTCCGCAGGGCTCGTGGCGGACGCGCGCGTGCTCGCAAAGTTCATGAGGACCGAGTGCATCAACCACCGCTACGTGTACGACGAGCCGATGCAGGTCGGCCGGCTTGTGCTGAAGGTCGCCGACAAGTCACAAGTCGGCACGCAGCGGATCGGGCAGCGGCCGTACGGCGTCGGGCTGCTTGTGGCGGGCGCGGACGCGCAGGGCCCGCACCTGTACGAGACCAAACCCTCTGGCGTCTACTTCGAGTACGTTGGCATGGCGATTGGCGCGCGCTCGCAGGCGGGGGGGCGCACCGGCGTCGAGATCGTCCCGAGATCGTCCGAGATCACCCGAGATCGTCCGAGATCACCCGAGAGCGCCCGGGCGCACCGGCGTCGAGATCGTCCGCGATCACGCGAGATCACGCGAGATGACGCGAGATCGCCCGACGTCAGGCGGGGCGCACCTACCTCGAGAAGCACTTCGAGTCCTTCGAGTCGCTCGGCCTCGACGAGCTGATCGGCCACGCGCTGCTCGCGCTGAGGGAGACGGTGGGCTCGAGCGGCGAGCTGACGAGCAGCAACGTCGCCGTCGGGTACGTCTCTCAGGACACGCCCTTCACCATCCTCGAGGACGAGGCCGTCGCGGCGCACGTCGACGCCGTCAAAAAGCCCGAGGAGGGGGCGCCCGCCGCGGCGGCTGCCGGCGACGCTCCGGCCGCCGACCCGCCAGCGATGGAGACGGACTAGAGAGGCAGGGAGGGCTGGGGGGGGGGGGGGG